CTTCCTTCCTTCCTTCCTTCCTTCCTTCCTCTTTCTTTCTTTCTTTCTTTCTCTCTCTCCCTCTCTCTCTCTCTCCCTCTTTCTTTCTTTCTTTCTTTCTTTCTTTCTTTCTTTCTTTCTTTCTTTCTTTCTTTCTTTCTTTCTTTCTTTCTTTCTTTCTTTCTTTCTTTCTTTCTTTCTTTTCTCCATCTCACCACAAGGCAACTCTGGACAGCTTACAGCATGAAAATGAAACCATAAATATATGAATAAAAGAGCCATTCAGAGTTGTCTTGTAGTAAAATGTGCGGCTAATAAATTTTACAATCAAACAAATAAAATCACATTAAAATTACAATAAAATACAAGTTATAACTGAGAGGGAGAACATTTTTAGTGACCGCTCGCAGTTATGATACTGATGAAAATGTAACTTTGTGACTAGTGCTCCCATTTATGACCATTATAAGTCTGTAAAGCAAAGGAAAGCTGAAGTAAAATTGTAAAATCACGATGTTTCACTTAATAACTGAGTTGCCAATTGATGTTGCTAAATGAGGACTATGCATCTCTAAGTTCATCAAGTTCTCTGGACACATAGCACTCTGCTTAAAACAGCATGTTCATTGTTATTTATTTAATTACACTAGTAGGCCACCTTAATTTCAATCACGGTTTAGGTGGTTTGTAAAATGTAAACACTTAAAGTAACAATAATAGCACGGACTAGGAAATGATTAGTTGTCCACATCAGAGAAAATGGGGGCTTTGAATGAAATGTCTCATTGAAATGGCTGAAAATAGGAGAGGTTGATTTATAGATTGGTATACAAACGTTGGCTGGGGATTCTGGGAGTGCTGGGGAATTCTGGGAGTTGAAGTCCACAAGTCTTAAAGTCGCCAGGTTTGGGGACCCCCTTGCTTTAGTGGCTTTCACTGTAATCCATATTTCTAGAGAAACCTTTGACTTAGTCGTATGTTCCAACTGTAGGGAAAGAGCTGTGTAAATCATCCACACTCTGGATGGCTGGAACTTTAAACTTGTATAGCATCAAGCATGAAATGATTAGAAAGTTTTTCTTTGCTGTGATTTATTTCTGGAAAGTGATGAGGATTACTGCAGTGCCTAAGACAATAATGAGGATTATTGCAAGGCCTAAGACACATGCCTGCAGACCCCTCCCATTCTCCCCCCATAATCCCCAAGCATACCATTCCTCCCCCAAACAAGATGCCTGAAAGTTCAGCTGCAGCCTAGGGGCCACAGACAGGGTTCTGGACAGACTCATTTGTGTCAGTGATGGTCAGTTACCTATCCCTAATTTTTTAATTTTTTAATTTTTTTTCCTTTTTCTCTTTACAAACAACGAAATACACAAAACATTTTTTCTTTTTTCTTAACAATACTATGTCCTATATCTCTTACATTTATTTACATTTATTTACATTACTTCTCATACTTTTTTATTCCTCAATTCTAACCAATTGTAATACATATCCCATATCTCATAAAATTCTGTAGCTTCGTTGTCCTTTATTTCTAAGGTAAGTTTGTTCATCTCAGCACAATCTAATATCTTACGTATAATCATTGCATTTGTTGGTATATTCTCTCTTTTCCAACATTGCGCGTATGCAATGCGTGCTGCAGTTATAATATGTATAATGATGTATTGAAGTTGTTTCTCCATTTTTGGGTTGATTATGCCTAATAAAAATATTTCAGGTTTGAGTTCAATTTGTTGCTTTGTTATTTCCTGTAACCATCTCCTTGTCTGTTCCCAATAGGTCTTTGCTTTGGGGCATTGCCACCACATGTGGTAAAATGTTCCTTCTTTGTTTTTACATTTCCAACAATCCGGGTTCATATTTTTGTATATTTTAGCCAATCTCGCCGGTGCTAAATGCCATCTGTAGAACATTTTATATTTTCTTTGTATGCAGTTGACAATGTTAATTTGTAATTTCTGTTCCATATTCTTTCCCATTCATCTAATCCTATATTTCTGCCTATATTTCGGGCCCATGCTATCATTGGACCCATTACTATTTCTTCTTCCAATTCAATTTCTAATAAGAGTTTATAGGTTTTTGTTAAAAAAATTTCTCCCTTGTTTGTCAATATTTTATTCAATTGTTGTGATGTCCAACTTATTCCATACTCTTCCATATCTTTGTTATATTTTGATTTTATCTGTGTATATAGCCACCAATCAATAGTTATTCCCTGTTCTTTTAATTCATCTCTTGATTTGGTTGTCTAATAATTCTTTGTACCTATCCCTAATTTAATGGAAGTTCTTGGTCCATAAAAGTACATCTGATCCAGGAGGACCTCGGGAAAATACAGCTTGTGATGGTGAAGAGAAGACAGGAAAAGTGGAGTGTTATTTGATCATTGGACAGGCTGTCCTGTCTGCCATTTGTTCAATGGGAACTTTTCTTTCAACATTTAAGCCTCCAAGGAAGGGTGGTAATGAAAACCCTCCAAAAGTACTAAAAAATATCCGAACAAATAAACTGACAACAGAAAAGAATGTATTGTTCAGATAAGATAATTTTGAAATGACTTGAACACCTCTCTTTATAAGGTAGAGAGTTAGCTTGCAGGTAAGAAAAAGGGAACACAACTTTCTTATATTTAGTGAATGAGCATCAGACAGGTTCATTTTTATCCATTATCTGGAGTTTATATGCCCAACAATGCTCAATTCATCTCACTCGAATAACAACAACCAGGACTGTAACCCTAAGAATAATGATAATGTATTAAAGTAATAAATCATAATAACCATTAGAAAAAGGAAGCAACAGTGCTTGCCACAGCAGCACAGCAGGAAGGTTGCCCTCATCACCAGTCTATTAAGCACAGAGTCACTTAGTTGAGATGGGTAGTATGGAAATTCAATAATAAAAAACAACAATGTTTCACAGCTCTCCAGAAAATCCAGATTTTTATCCCTTTCTGGAAAACCAACCTAACGGAATGGGACCCAACCTAAGCTTGGGAGGAACACTGCTCTAAAGAAGGGGGCAGCATCTAAGCACTGATGTTTTATCTCCCTTTTTCACAGAAAATTGTATTATTATTATTATTATTAATTTGATTTATATCCCGCCCTTCTCCTTGCGGACTCAGGGCGGCTAACAACCAGATAAAATACTATTCACAAAAAACTACAAATTAAAAACATAATTAAAAACAAATATTAATAATTGGTCTAGTAGTTAAAAATTACTTTAAAACCCCCATTAAAAATTTCCCCCTAGGCCAGTCCTGCAAGTTGGAATAACCATGTCTTAAGGGGAGATCTAGCATTTAAATAAGTATGGAACATTTCTGTTCATTTGTAGTAGTTTTAGAACAAGGGTGGAAATCTGAAGCTTGCTCCTGATGACGTCAGGGGTCTACACCAGGGGTAGGCAACCTTGGCTCTTTTATGACTGGCTCAGGAATTCTGGGAGTTGAAGTCCACGAGTCATAAAAGAGCCAAGGTTGCCTACCCCTGGTCTACACACCCAGATGTGACCTTGTAAACAGACTCTCATTGGAGAGAAAAAAAATTGTGAGAACAGAATAACCTTTTAGGGGCAGTAATTAGCAGTAATAAGCAAGGCTTAAAACAGGTGCAGTTCACCCAAAAGTTCTATTACAAAGTGTCTGCTTTCAGTTTTGATTCCTCCAGGACTTTCTTTTCTCTTTCTGCAGATTTCCTAGTCAATATTCAGTCACAGCTCTCCCCGCCCCTGCTCCTTTCTTCACAACACACAGGCAGACTTCATTAACTTATGGCTTAATTTTAAAAAGCGAGAGTGCCGAACTTGGTTGGCTTCTCGCACTTCAAAAGGCTCCCACGTCTTCTGATTGTGATGACTTTCCATCAGCGATGTAGTCTGCTCTGAATTAGTAATGTTGCTGACTTACTGTTTTAGAAGAAGTCCTTGACCTGCTGGTGGGAAGAACTGTGCCTGCTCTGAACCTCTGTGGTTCCTTGAGCTCTGCCAGATCCCCTGTGAATAATTAGAAGCATTTGAAGGCATTGCCGGAGAAGCCAATTTGTGTCTTTCACTTTGCATATTGTTGAAGCCTCATGAATTAATCATTGGCAGGAGGGGGAAAGAAAAAAAATTAGCTGCTTCAGTCTCACATTTGATGGGTCATGAGGGAGAATGTAAAGTGACCTGTGAAATATTCTACTGATCCTCTAAGTATTAAATTATTACGGCTACAGGTTAATTTCAGGGGGGAACCTCCCTCCCTTCTCACTAAATAGAACAAGGAACTTTAAAATACAGGTTTAGCTATTTTCTTATAATTTTGAAATGAGAATACAATGGAAGAGAAGAAGCGATGCTTTTCAGCTTGTGGAATGCCATCTCAGTGCCTTTGTTTTGACTTTTGTTCTTAACCAAGTGTGCTTCCCTGTTCCTTCTACCAAGCCTTCCATGTCTTCTTGCTATTGGGGATCAGTCGTAAAAAGATGTTAATCAACAACAGTCTTAAATGACAGCTTAATTATTACTATATTTTTTTTATGATGGGAAAACTCTATAGTCGTTCTCAAGTGGGTGAAATATGTGCGTTTTCTCATTTCAGCTAATGAAACAGAGCTCGCATTTTTCTGCATGGACGATTACAGAAAATATAAAACCAATCCTGTGGCTACCTGGTGAAGACCAAGAAAATTGAGAGAGAAAAAAATATTCGCTGTTAATAAGACGGTTTATCCTGAAATCCTAAAAAAAAATGTCTGTTAACAAGCATTGAGGCTTTTGTTTACAGAAATGCAGGACCCATTGCAGAAGGGGAGACTCCCAACAGTGACATTGCTTTCCAACAAGATTAATTTCACTTCCCGAAATGTGTGATGATGTTTTATGATGTTTTATAATAAACATACGTCGATACCTTCCCTGTATGGCTGGCAAATAAGAATTGGAATGTAGACTGGCACGGTCGTTTATTCCAAAGTGAGCACGTATCAGCTCCAGAAAAGAACCAAGCATAAAAAAATCCGGGCAATATCACCAACACTACAGCTTTTGTTTAGCGTCTGTTGCATTTCTTCCCTTGTCTCTCCATAGCATTTTCTTCAAGATGAAGGAAGTGCAAAAAAAAAGTGTTTCAGATACATGGGGGGCGGGGGGGAAAGAATGTTTTATGCTGGGCTTGTTTCAGGGTTTATGCTGTTTTTTTTAATAAATGTTTTTGAGGCAGGGTGCCAAAGTGGTGTTTATATAAGTGCTAAACCTGTAGAAGGGAGAAAAATAGCTATTTTGTTTATTTTGTTTCATTTTCAGAGTGGGCATCTTAACAGTTTCTAATAATCAAGTAACTTCTCCCCATTTCCTTTGATTTCTGACTGGGTAAAACTTTCTTCAGTGTAGCTCCTAATGGTAAGAGTTGGCCATGGTGATTTATGAGATATGGTCCCTGTGGTATATGCTATGATAGCATGCTGATGAGGTTTGATATCAGAAGGCATCTGCGTATTAACTGAGCCGTAGCTGTTCTGTGCCAATATGTTCAAGAATGAACAGCTGTCTTTTCTGCTGTTCTTCTTGTAAGGATATAACAGCGGTTTGGATTATGTTCAGACTGGACAAAATTCCTTTCTTTGAGAAAAGATAGTGCTTCTAGTGTGTTGATTTCCTTTGGAAAGGTGGGTAGCCTCACTTCACTTTCTGCCTAATGGTTTAGTTGTGGTGAAATGTTAGAAATGAATCAGCTCAAAAGGAAAGTGTTAATATTGCTGGGCTGAACGGTGGGGCAAATTATGGTCTTGTTAATGATGTTTCTGTATTATGAATCTCCAAGTAGCGTTTACTGTATTTTTAATCGCTTTTTTAATTGGTCTCAACAGATGGCAACACCTGGCTGACACCGACTTGGCTTGGAAGCCTAGTAAGGGGTAGTGCTTGGTGAGAGATTTCTAAGGAATAAAGGCTGAAGGCTAGATGGGAAGCAAGGGGGAACATTCCAGAAAGGAGACAGTGGTCTGTACTGCTGCACGGGTATCGCCACGAAGTCTCCAATTTCGGGTTTGACTTGAAAGAGACAATCTTGTAATCCTCCTGTAATGCCCAGTTTTGCTTCTAGCACATACAGCAGAGGTGTCAAACTGCCGGTCTGCAGGCCGGCTGCATCATAGCCAAACAGTGCCCACCCCATTACCAGCAATGGCAAAAAAAGTTGCAACACGTCACGTGACATTGAGAGTTTGACACCCCTGATATACAGGGAGTCCTCAACCTATGACAACTGAGCCTAAAATTTCTGTTGCTAAGTGAAACATACGTTAAGTGAGTTTTGCCCATTTTACGATCTTTCCTGCTACGTTTGTTAAGTGAATTCACTGCAGTTGTTGAGTTAGTAACAACAGAATTTAAGCGAATTCAGGTCACAAAAGGGAGACTGGGACACTTGCAACCCTTATAAATATGATTCAGTTGCCAAGCTTCTGAATTTTGATCACAGAATCATTTTGCACAGTGGCGTGAAAGATGATCACACGTCTCTTTTTTCAGTGCCGTTGTAACTTTGAACAGTCACTAAACAAACTGTTGTAAGTGGAGGAGTACCTGTACATAAAGAGAAGAGGGAGAAAAATGCAGTCAGATTAGCTTTTGGAGGCGGGGGGGAAGGTAGCAAGCATTGACATTGCCTGCTTCATGCAATTTTACTAAGTCAAAATGAAACAAACCACTTTATGGCTTAGGCCAGGGGTAGGCAACCTTGGCTCTTTTATGACTCGTGGACTTCAACTCCCAGAATGCCTGAGCCAGCATAGGTATGCTGGCTTAGACTGATGTAGTAGCCATTTTATACCCCTTTTGAGATAGATTATGACTTCTTTTATGATTTTAAAAATTCTGTATGCAAAAATTGCTTAGTTTTGGCCGCTTGATTAAAAGAAGAACTTAAAACAAAGATAAGTGTTCAGCTGAGGGATGTCTTTGGTGCAAAACATACATCTGAACCTGGCAACAGGTCAAGAATGTTTGGGATTTAGCAGTTATTTGGAAGAGAAAGAAGCCTTTTGTATGTGAACTTCTCCCTAGCAAAATGTCTGGTTTTGCATTATTATATTATAGGATTTAAGCGGTTTTTGGATATAGAAAAAGGTGCCTTTGTCACATGGGAAATAACGTTTTCCCTCTAGGGAAAACGGAATATTTAGTTAATCTTTGGCTTCAGGATGAAAACTAAGTTGCTGGTTTCTAGAATGAGTGCCAAAATTAAATTAATTAGCTATCAGAGGAATAATGCCCCAAAGAATCCAATTAGCTGTAAGAAGAAAAATAATCAAGATAGTTTGAAAATATAGTTTGGCTTTCCAGATCTGACAGCAAAAATCCAGCCCACCCCAGTAGAGCTATATAGAAATTTCTAAATCTTTTCTGCCATCTAGTAAGGATTTTTGCAGCCTAACTATGCTGGGCTAAGTATATAATGGATTCAGTGATCGAAGCTTTCAATTTGGTATGAAGTTGTAGCTAGTATTGAAAATATGCTAAGAAATGGGACAAAAAATACTGGAAGGGTGCCCACCATTTTTAGTACTGGCCTTATAGGAAGTGCTTGGAGGAAAAATTCACCCACTCCCTTTAGATGTCTGAGGTTTTTGTTTTTTTTCCATTTTTACACAAAATAAGATATTGCAAGATTCAATCTGGGTCGGTTACTGGGAACAGAGATCGAGTGTTTTGAGCTTTTGGACTTGTGCTGGAGCTCATCTTCAGGGAACTTCTCTCTACTGGAATATGTGATTTGGGCTACTCTATGCTTCGCATTTATGTGGTACCTTCCTATTGATTGATTGGTGTTGATGGCCTGTGATCAGCTGTTGTTTCCTTGTGCTGCCAAGTCCTTGGCTCCTAAGTATTTCATAAACTGGTGGTAAATCAGCACTCCTTTCGACTGACAAGGGGCCCATTTTCCAGGCTTCAATCATTTTCCTGGCTATTTTTGTACCTGCAGGGCCAACAATCTTAATAGCTGTGAAATTGAACATTATGTCCTTATTTGTTGCAATGTGAGGCTACCAATGAATATCTTCATAAAAGAAGATATTCCCTTATCTTTGATTTCACATGATATGGGATCAACACAGTCAAATTTAGTTAAATTTAATTGGATAGATTTGAAGTTTGTAGTTAAATGGAAGACGATGCAAGCGAGTTATTTTAGTTTGCAGGACTGATGTTCTCAAGTATTCTGCATCTCCTTGGAGTCATTCGGTTATTACCAAGCACCTGGTTTAGGGACAACAGGCTTTTCTACAAGAAACATACTAACTTGAAGTAGCAGTGCAGTTTACGCAAACGCTAGAACTAAATTCTGTAATGGATTTGTCTTCAGCAAAAACCACAAGGTGTCAGCACAGCTTTTCTTTCATGTTGGAGTGGGGAAAAGATGTATATAGTGAGTGTCAAAGCTGCTGAGAAAAATATATGGTGTAGGTTTTTTTAAAATTTATGTAATCCTGAATTGCTACTAATACAAAAACGAATGTAAACCTGTGAATATTATGTGGCACAGTTGTCTTTACATGACGATCTGTTGTGAACTTGATTTCATACATTTAAATAGTCATGTTTCTTTGCTACTATATTACCATGTCATCTTTAAAAATATTTAAGCCTTAATCTGCACATTTTCTGGAGAGCATGCCCTGGTACCATTATTTTTTTGGGGGAAAAAATTAGCTTCCACGTCACTGATTTGATTTTATTGCAAAATTAATTGAAGTGCTGCTTTTGAATAAATGCGGTCAGTGTAAACCTTTAACTTGTGTGTATAAATGTATAAAATACCTCATGAGGGTACTCGATGCTCAAAGGATTCAGAACATCTACAATTCTTTGAATTGGCCCAATAGAATTGTTGGTGGGAGTTGTCTTGATGCTGGACCAAAAATATAATCCCTGAAATCCCATTTCAAATTAATGCTGTGGCTTGATGTACTGCTTTAAAGAAGAAATTGAGCTTAGTGGAAACAAGCGGAATTGCTGAAATTCCAGTCCAGATACCTTGGGAATGTTACAGGTAGTCCTCAACTTAACAATAGTTCATTTAGGGACCATTCAAAGTTACAACGGCACTGAAAGAAGTGACTTACGACCATTTTTCACACTTACGACCGTTAAGTGTAAACTCATTTAACAAAGGTCCCACTTAGCATCAGAAATTTTGGGCTCAATTGCGGTCATAAGTCAAGGACTACCTGTTACAAGCTTTACCTGCAGAGGTTAAGCTTTGCTGCCTGAATTGAAACAAACTCATAAAAAAAAAAACAGCTGCAAAATAAGTTCATTAAAATCCAGTGTCCTCTAACCAGGAGGGAGTCTTTGATGTTTTGGGTTCTTCTGAGGTAATTGTTAAAAATTAAAATGATGAATCTTGAATATGACCCTCTGCCATTTTCCCCTACTGGTTCAGTTATTTATATTATTTTTTTTGAAGTAAATATTGAAGAATGAGTCTTTCCTAAGTGGTCATTAAAGTGGGGCAATGCAAACTGCTCTGGTCCTCAAAAGTACTATATGGATCAAGGAGAATCCCCTGGCAGAAACATTCAGTCCATTGTTCTTTTTTAAGTCCCTTCCTGCCTTAAGCAGGAATTTTCAACCTACTCCAGCAAAAAGTTCAAATTCCAAATTTTCTCTGGAACTTTGCGACTTCTGAGATACCCTCAGTGCTCTTTCCCTAAGTTTGAAAATCTAGGATAAAACAAAAAGGAGGTCTAGAAATAGTCTTTTACTGCAAATAAGAAAAAAGAGAGAGCAAGTCCTTTGCATCAGTTCACAGATATATCCTGATTATATTTCTTTTACAGTATGATAACAGGAGTAATAAAATGTCCACTGTAAAGCAGGATGGTAACTTTACAATTCCCAAGGCACAAATTAGGCAGTG